TTTTCTATTTTATGTGTATGAGTGTATTGTCTGCACAAATGTTAAGTGTACCTGTGTTGTGCAATACCCACAGAGGCACTGGAGTCCCCTGGAACTGGAGTTACAGATGGTTGCTAGTCACCATGTGCGTGCTGGGAATCGAACCCAGATCCTTTTCAAGAAGAGGCAGTGTTCTTAACCACTGAGCAATCTCTCTAGCCTCAGGAATGATTTTTATAAGGAAAAATAAATCACAATAAACATTGTTTTCATAAAGGATATATGTTTCAGGTTCTAGAAGAATTACACTAACTTCATGACTTTCTATTTCTTTAAAAAGGACTTTGGAAAACACTTGCGAACTTTTTTGACTATAACTGGACTGTAGCTAATGTCTTTGGCAAACTTCAGTGTGTGCTAAGAGGTACACACTCAACCTGCAACTCTGCTCTTATACTGTCTCACGTCACAAAACACAGTCAACTTCTCAAGAAAATCTTGCTCCCAAGAGGATAAAATATTTGTCTTACTATTTATGTAAGTCTTTGATGCCAAGAGTAAAATGTTCAAGTAAATTTTAATGAAAAAAAAATCAGTGTTTTTAAATAGCTGAATAAACTTCACAAATAAATATGCCCACTTTCTTATATAATGAGGCGCAGATTCCTCAAATCTTAAAAAGTCAGGCAAACACATTCCTCAGGCATGAATGCCCTCTCTCACAAAAATTTCTTAGTCCAGGCCTTGCTACTGTGGTATTTCATTACGCTTTGTGATTCTAGAGTATGATACTAAAGTAAGGGGCAGAATATTACACTTTAGAACCATACAAATTACACTTTCATGGCAATACTAGAAAACTAACTTTGGGTGCCTTCCACAGAACTACTTATGTTTCTTGCTTTTGGCTTGTGTGAGTAAAAAGCTTAGTCAGACACTTCCCCCAGCCTGCTTCAAGTACCCCACAAAACCAGATAAGCCTCCACACATAAAGTGAGAAACCAAAATCCAATGACTTAATGTAAATAGCCACAGAGATTTCAATAAGTTACAACATGTATTATAAATATCTGTTTCCAGGACTGCCCTCACTGACCACCGTTTTCTGAAGGGCTGTGGCTTATAGCAGAGTTCTCTAAGTATGAGCCACAGACAGGTCAGAAACTATAATTTTCTCCCCCTTCAGTCATCTTTGGAAAAAGCTCCACATCACCAACAAAATTCCTTCCTTTCAAAAATAAGTACTTTCTCTTTGCTATAGTGTTAAGTCCATGAGCAGTTAATACTGACATATAATATTTCAAAATATTTATTCACAGATAGATTAGACTTAGTTGAGGCATTAAACTAGAATTAGCAATAGGCATATATGTAGACAACAAAAGCATCTTGTTTGGAAAGTAAGGCTGGTGGCCCCGGACTCCACCAGGGTAAAGTCTGTCTGTGAAGTAACGTGGCAGATGGCTGTTAACAATGTGCGGATTAGCTGGGCCTAGTGCTCAGATGCAGCCCAGCCAAACTATTCAAATCCCTGCTTCCATTTCTGAAGTTCAACAGATGAATGGCAACACTGGCAGCAGACATCTTTGTTCACGTAAAGGCTCTGAACAACTGGAAGAAATTTACTTCTTAGACAAGAAGCCACTGGTCCCTACCTGCTGTGACCGCAGAATGGCAGCGTCAATGGCGTCCACCTTCTGTGTGATGGTGTCGCTCACCAATCGGTAGCGTTCATTGTCCTCAGCGACCAACTTCTCGAGTCCTTCTCTCGCCCGCCAGGGCACCAGTTCCAGCAAAGCACAGCTCACTTCATTAAGGGAATCCAATAAGGCTTTGTTGTTCTTAACTTCCTGTTTCAGCTCCTTGAAAACATGCAAACAGAAGGCAGGTTTTCCATCTGTTCTTGGGGGTCCTTTGCTGTGCTGAGGCGCCCTTAGTTTCAGCTGAGTTAATAAACCTTTGTGGTTTAAAGCTATTTTGCAAAAAGGAAGGTGTTTCCAGAGGACTTCAAAGAACAATTCACTTGTCAACATGGCAAAATTTTACCTTTGAAATTTAAAATAAATATTTACAGTTTGGAAAAACAAAACCAAGCGAGTTAATATGTATTAATCTTTGATTTCTGGGACTGTCTAAGTAATCCGGTAACAGGAGTAAAATAAGGTGGCTATTCCAAGCCAGAAGTGAATGACCTCCAATGAGGGCACAATGGCCTTGTGCCCTTGCAGACTGGCGAGCGTGGCCTTACCCACACCGTCCCATCCATATACAGCCAGGAGCTGACATCTCCAAAAAACACCAATGTTCAGCGGGTGGTACACTGCTTTTGTGATGCCATCAGAAAACCCACCCTGTACTACACATCTGATAGAAATGCTGCTTTCCTAACAAAACTGCAGATGTCTCTTAAACAATGACCATTTTCCTTTTTTCCTTCCCCCCCCTTCTTCATTATTCAAACTCTTAGGCAGGAAACTATATTCTCAGCCATATGGTGATCAAAGTACATACGCTGTCTGAACAGTGGACGTACTGTGTATTTCCACCAGGCCCCACCCACTAAGGCAGACATAATTTGGGTCCCCATGAATAAGAAGCTAACAAACGTGGCAATGCACAAACAGGGGCATACTTTCTGTCTCTCTTGTGCTTGGCTCGAACCCTCTCCTTTCAGAGCCTGAGTCTCATATGAGAGCAGCTCCACCTCCACTCTGTCCAGCCAGCTGCACAGCTCCTTGCGTGTAGAATGCAGCTGCCTGGCAAGCTGCAGAGCCTGTTCCAGAGTCTTTGATACATCGGCACTCAATTTGGTAATGTCTTTGTATCTTGCTTTAATGGCTTCCAATTTATCTTGAATAATTAAGACTTCATCACCTAAAATTTCAAACATATATTATTTCTTATGGAAGGAAAAAAGTAAGGGGCAGAGATTTTCCTCAGATATTGCACAGTGAGGGTATTTTTAGGGAGAAAGAGGAGGTAAGTTTTCTAAAGACACCTGACCCACGAGAAGCCCTTATTTGGGTTTTAATCTTCCCCAGGACTGTGGCAGATCACATTAGTTATAGAACCAATGTGAAATGGACAGGGCTGTGGAACCTCCAGTTGTGTGCACCTTTTCATTTATCTTACAATGCTCTCCATTTTCAAAGAATGGGCCACAAACTGCCTGCCCTTGGCTCACTGACTTCATGGCTGTGAGGCAGGCACTTGGCCTCTTTGAGCTCTTATTATCACTCATCGTCACTCTTCCAGGGAATCTTTATTGTCTCTACTTCCTTTGCAGACAGAGGTAAATCATGTCCTAGGCTAGCAGAGATGTTCTACTACAATTCTTCATGATAAATGACAACTGCTCCAGTATACACATACTACTGAAACATAACCAACAGAATCATTAAAATAAGTTTCTCTGAGTTGTTCTAAGTTTTTCGTATAGGTATTAAACCATGCTGTGAACGCCTGTTCTCATAAAAATATGTACCTTCAAACCAAACCCTCTGGAAGGCTGATCAACTGATTAGAACGTCAGTGACTGTGGAGAGTTTGGAATGTTGCAGATCCAGGTCCTAATGACCATTTATCTTGGGCCATCTTTAGCCCCCTAAGTAGCCATTCCTTCACCACCTCTGTGTCTAATCTAACATCCTGTGACTAACACAAAAAAACCTTTTAGAATGTATAAACTCAGTAGACCACCAGCTTCTATCAAGCTAAGGGCTAGTAAGTCTGTGAGACAGCATCTAAGGCCTACAGCAGAATTCTCCCTGCCTGGCTATAACCTGTCTTTCTGATGTCTCCACCAATGTCTTTGAAAAGTGTCTTGATTCATAATTTTTCTTTGTTCTATTACTATGAAAACTTCATGAAACTGTTACTACGTTGGAAAATGGAATTTGGGGTAACCCGAATCTGTGTTCCCAGGCCATGGTCACTCATATTTGGCTCCAGAATAAACCGTCTCTTACTCCCTTCGAGGTGAAGAGTTGTGCTTTTGCATTAACAATGCATCTGTTTTCTGTCTAAACCCATCCATGTGTTCTGGGTCTTCTAAGAATGGGACACTATTGTAGCTACAGGGCGGGCTTCTCTGGCCAGCTCCTAAGCCAAAGCACTTTATGCTATGAGTAATACACATGGCGCCCATCAAGAACTCAAGTGAGATCATGAGAAAAAAGTGAGATCACATGAAAGTTGTCTTGCCTGATCTTCAAAGCAGCCTGAAGGCTGGAGTCTTGGAGCAGCCTCAAAAATGATAAAGTGTTTTGTCCTTTTTTCCCATCCCTGAAACATTGTGACAACACTGGGGAAGATTGGTAAGATGGTCTGAGCTGGGAGACGTCTCACCTGTGGTCTGCTTGAGGAGTTCTAAGCCATTCAGCAGTGCCTGGTCTACATTTTGTTTCCTGAGCAGGATGTCTTCTTGCAGAGCCTAGGAACACAGGTACTATTTGTACAGAGGTAGGGGAAGACCAAATTCAAAGCAGAATTAGCATTCACTAACCTCAAAGAACTTTCATGAAGTTCCTTAGGGACACACTGCATGAATACCTCACATTTTTTTTCAAACACCCATTTTTGTTCCCCTCTCTCCACCCCTGCATTCCAGACCCCAAATCATCAACTTGGATTCACAGCACAATCCTTTTAGAAAACATTTAGGGCCTTATAGAAATTGCTTTCACAGAGGTACTGCAGTACTAGATCCAAGAGTACAACTGTGTAAAATTCATCTGAATGGATACATTCAATCTCATTTTATTAAGTCTCCTTTTCACACACAAGAAACACCTATTTTGGGTATAAAGGACCACATAAATCATAATGGACAAAAAATAACACAACTAATAAAAATGGATAAATTAATAACAACTGAAATGAAAAAAAATGAAATGAAGATACCCGAAGTTCCGCCTGCTGCTCCCACAGCCCCGCAGTGCCGTAATCCTGGACTGAGAGCTTGCTCAGTTTGCCATGCACCTCATTCAGCCAGTTCATCAGCTCAACTTCATCTTCCCCAAAAATCTTAGCATTACACAAGGCCTGCTGGAGGAGCTCAGACCTGTTGTGACTTTTCTCTTGAATCTCATAGTACCACACTTGGGAGAAGTCTAGTTTACTCTGTACCAGGTCTTTATCCTCCCTGGAGCTCAGAATCTTTAAGGACTGGCCAATGCTAACAGCTTGGTGCAAGTGTTTATTGTGATTGTTGATGTCATCTTCTAAAGCCTGAATGAAGTTTAAAAAGGAAGAAGGAAAACAAAAAGAATGGACAAATGAAAACATAAACAGAACGAAAGGATGACTGAAATGGATTTTGTCTCACAAATGCACAATTTGTACAATGTAACAAATTTACTTCACAAAATCAGAAAATAAATGAAAGCCTAAGCCTTATTGACACATAGCCCTTCATACCTTGTGCTGTGCAATCTGCTCCTCGAGCTTAGATGTCTGGGTTCCTATGGGCTCACAGTTTGCCAGCCTCTTTTCTACAGCTGTAAGCCACTCATTCAAGGGTTCTAAGGTCTCGTGAAATTGCTGAGCTACCACTGAGATACCTTCCAACTGACGATTCCTGTGAATTTGCCAAGATAAAGATCAGTTAGGGATGATGAATGTGTTAAACAGTCAATAAAAATATCTGGTCACGCCCCTTCCACTATATTCGAAACATGTTGTTGTAGAAATCATCTAAGGTTAAACTCTCAATGTATAATAGTTAAATGACAGGTTAAACTAGCTCTTCTATTAAATAAAATTAAAGTTAAGCAAGCTATCATCCTCAAGTACCCAAAGAGCATGAAAATTAAAAGCCATCTTTCCCGAGAAAACACCTAATAATTATAGCAACTTTAAGAACAACAGCAAAGTAACAATAACAAGTAATATACTGAATGCCTCTTCTACACTTGGCCTTGCTGTAAAATTATTTTTACGAAATGGTCAAAAATGGATAAAAACCCTGAAGAATACAATTGTGACTGCTACACTGCAAAAGTCTATCTGTATTTGTAAAATGTGTGTATTTGCCAAAAGCAATGGTTGTGGACCTAAATATCATGAACAGGAGAGCTTCTCAGACTTCTAACTACAATTTGAAATACTTTTAGAAAACACATGGTTTGCTCAGTGGCAGACTTCAAACATAAAATCTGCTCTGTTGTTTCCAGTTTTTCTCTCATGCAATTCACTGTGCCAGTCTACAGTTAGTGCATTTAATACAGTATCAAAATTGGAAGTCATCTATTGAGATCAGGAGTTATGCTGCCTTCTCTTCTTAATCTGGTCAGTTCTTAGGGAATGACATGATTTGAGAAATTAGCTTTCTATGAAGCTGAAAAGAATTACAGAACTTGGCAGTAGGTACAAATATAATTTCTATGTCATTATCTAACAAACTATACACAAAAATGTAAAACCCTGCCCCCTCTATTCTACTTCTAAAGAAGGCAGTAACATATGGAGCACAGCTATTCTATCAACTCAGTCTTCTGGGTGACTACTCTTTCATGTTGCTACAACTAGTAACAGTCCATGTAGCATTGATGCAGATACAAAGTGTTGTGTTGCTGGGGATTCTGTAGTAAGAAATGCTGTGAGCAGGAGCCCAGGGGAGCCCTGCGTGCCTGCCCTCCTGTCTTCATGAGGGAGAACACCTTCCACTGCTTCACCTCCTCCTCACCAATTCTTCCCTTAAAACACAGCTGTCACTTGTTTCTAAACTTCTTCCTTTAATATGCTCCCACGACTCCCTGCATTTTTGCTTCAAAACATCACTCTTGCCATCATTTTTCCATGGCTATGAACTAGTATGAACTAGTCTGCACCTATCTGGGGGCAGAGGTCATCTGTCTAGCTTGACCCTGTAACCCAACACCTAGCTCTGTGCCTGGTGCAAGGTAGGTAGAGAATGACTAGGTAATGAACAAAGAATGAATTATCACCAAGAGAAATGTTTTCTTAAAGAGCTGGATACAGCTGGTGCCCACAAGACACCACCCTCAGAGGAATGAGGTGGGGTGCGCCATGGCCCTCGCTACTAAGTCCACATACACAATGAAGATGGAGAATAGGGATTTAAGGAAACATATCACCCAAATACACGGTCCTAAGTACACTGCTGCTCTTTCAAAAGAAACGGAAGCATCTGCCTTACCTCGTTTCAGCTTTACTAAGCAAAGCCTCCCATCTACTGTCCAGGAGACGCAGCTGCTTCAAAATCTTCACTTTATCTGAAGGTTCAGCCGTTGCAGCAATTTTTTCTCCCTCTCGTTTGATGACCTCCACAGTAGACTTTCGATCATCCAACAATCTTTGCAGAAGCTTCAGGCAAAACATTAAATATTTTAAAAGGCAGAAAAACAACTAAATAAATATAAAGCCAAATGTTATCTTAAATGCTTCCAATATTATACATAGATAGATGATAGATAGATAGATAGATAGATAGATGATAGATAGATAGATAGATAGATACATACATACGTACATACATATATGCATACATACATTCTATGGGTATACACAGGAGAAATCTGAGAAGTAGGGTTTTAAAACTAACCCAACTGGGTCCAGTGAGATGGCACAGTGGGTAAAGGTGCTTGCTGCCAAACTTGACAACCTGAGTTTGATCCCTGGGACCCACATAGTGAAAGGAGAGAACCTCTGACCTCACACACGGTGTATCACATGCATGACCGCAAACACACATACACACACACACACACACACACACACACACACACTCTCTCTCTCTCTCTCTCTCTCACTCACACTTTTCATTAAAACGTTTTATATGTAAAAATGAACTAAGTTTGAAGCAATGTATTCCTTTTTCAAGCTACACAGGAAAAAAATCTTACCTATGTGCCAGGTGCTAGGCCTTTTTCCACAGGTAATTTCAAACCACAGTGATAAATCACACTGAAAATGTCATGAAGGGCTTCATGACTGAGCACTAATGTCACCTGGTTAGTGAAGCCTTCCTTGGCTGTTCTTTCTAAAACTGCTCACAGCTCTCCTCCACGGCAGCATTTCCTGCTGCCCTCCTGGCTCAGTCACTTCCAGATTCCCATCCCTCATCCTGTCTACTTATGTCTTTGTAGTTTACTCTAGTTTGCATATTGGCATTGTTTATTGGCTTTCCTCACCCTTTTTTCCACACTGGAGGGTCTTTTGTTTTGATTCGTGGATGTATCTCTAGTACCTATAACAATGCTTTGATCAGAGCAGGTATTCACAGTACTGGTTTAGTAACTAACCAGAAAGCAGCAAGAATCAGTTAATGATGATATCCTAGCAGTATAAATTAGGAGGTCTATCTTCACTGTCATTATTAAGATTTAATATGCAACAACACAAAAACATCATGAACTTACCTTTTGCTCTTGTATCTGGGCCTTGACCACTTTGAACTCAGCTGATGGAGGCTTCTGATTGGCCACAAGCTCCTCAGTGTCTACCATCCAGCTGAGCAGGGACTCAAGAGCGTCCTGGAACCTTCCACAGTGCAGCAGTGCCTCCTGTAGCTGTGCTGCTCGCTGAGCCACCTATAAAATTCCAGTTGTTTCAACTTATTTGTTTCACCAAAAAAAAAAAAAAAAAAAAAATCTGCCCATGAGACACACTGCTTCTCATGTTTACTTCCCCATCTGGTCACACATTTGCCCCCCCCACCCCCCTTTCACTGTGTGTTTGTGCATGTGGAGGCTAGAGGATGATCTTGCGTATCTTTCATCACTATACACCTTATTTTTTGAGACAGGGTCTGTCATTGAACTTACAGCTTGCCCTTTAGGCTAGAGCAGCTGGTCAGCAAGTTACCATGACTCACCTGTCTCTATCTCCCACTCAAAGGCTTACAGGCTTGTGCTGCCATGACCAGCTCTTACTTGTAGAGCAGGCAATTTACCCACTGAACTCTCCCCATCCCTCTTTCTTTCTCTTTCTTTTCTGTGTATATGAGTGTGAAGTACATGTTTGTGTAGGTGCACATGTATGTGTAGGTGTGCATGTAGATATAAAGGCCAGAGGTCAGCTTCAAGTGTTTCTCCTCAAGAGCTAGCCTCCTTGTTCTTTGAGACTGGGTCTCTCATTGGAACCCGGGGCTCACCAATCAAACTAGGCTGGAAAATGAAGCTCAGAAATCTCGCTGTCTTCAGGTCTCAGCAGTGAATTTTAAGTGTACAATACCACGCTTATCTGAGTTCTGAGGATTAAACTCAGGTTTTCATGTTTATGTGACAAATACTTTGCCAATTGAACTACTACTCGGTCTCTTTTATTAAGATAGGGTCTTAAATATCCCAGGCTGGCACTGAGCTATGTAGCCAATGAGCTTTGGCTCCTTTTGCCTCTGCTTCCTGGGTGCTAGATTATAGGCATGTGCCACCATACCTGGTTTAATCCATTGCTGGGGATGGAACCCAGGGCACTGTGTATCCTGGGCAAACACTCTACCAACTGCACTACAACATCCCCAGCCTTCTTTTTGTTTTCACTAAAAATTTACCCACAGCATTGACAATGGGCAAAGCTTAGGAAGGAAGCCAGGAACATAAGGCTACCATTCAAAATAGACAATTCTTTGAGATTTTGTAAGTGTTAATGTTTGTGATTAGCAAATGAATGATTTAAATATTTTTATTTTAAAAACAAGGCATCACTTTATCATGACTGGGATGCTTATCTTGTTCTCTGCCAGTGGTCATCAGTGACGACGATAAATGAAGACAAGGACTGAAGGAAATGATTATGATAGTGAGAACTGGAATTATATGCTTGCTGGGAAAATGATGCGCTACCCAATTAAATTCTTGCATCTCCAAACCTTGGAGTTCCTTTGTGACAAACTATGATCTTTGTCATCCAGTAAATAATTATTTGTGTCCTACAGAGAGGAAGTATTCTGTGGTTCTTCTCATAGAACTTTCCTTTTTAGACTGAAAGATACATTATGCACCATGGAATATATTTTCACCTGACGCCCTTTTCTAACTGTGTTTAATGAACATTACAACATGGATCAGACTTGAAAGAAGGCTGTGGTTTTAAGATATCAACACAAGGAAAACAGTAAGAAGAAGCATCCCCATTCCACAGACATGGTCTACTGATGATCAAGTACTATTCTTAGTGTTTCCCCTACAGAAGGTTTTTATAAGGTGGGATCCACATCTTATAGCTAAAATCTGGAGCTGGCAGTCTTCAGTGACAGTGGCAAAGCCTCTGACCAGGACTGAAACATACACAGCCTCTTTTACTTGCAAGGTATGAAGCTAGTCACCAACATTTGACAATGGGAGGATGTCACACAAAGAGAGGGGGAAATTTCACACACACACACACACACACACACACACACACACACACACACAGATTTGCAAGACCCACTGGGAGCAGAGCATCTGGACACAGCAAGCCTGCATCTCAGCATGTCAGTGAGTCACAGGCGCTAAGAAGCTGCCACAGCCTGAGAGGTGGGTATGCTCTCTCAACACAGGGCCATAGATCATGGCTGACTGACATCACACCTATTGGATCTGCAGCCATGTCCCTGTTATGTTCTCTAACTACCTCTCATAGGCTTCTGAGGATGGGCCACCTAGTATATATAGCAACCTAAAAACAGTAAGCATGTTTAGGGAAGTTTGACTACTCTAAACACTCATTGCAATAAATTATAGTGAACAATTACTAACAAGCAATAAAAATAGAGGGGATGAGCAAATTACCTTCTTTTTAAAATTTTTTACTTTTTATTTTATGTGTATGTGTTTTGCCTACATGTATTTATGTGCAACATGTGTGTGCCTGGTGCTGTGGAGACCAGAAGAGGGCACTGAGTTCCCTGGAACTGGAGTTAAACACAATTGTCAATTACCACGTGGGTACTGGGAAATGAACCCAGGTCCTCTGTAAGAGCAGCCAGGGCTTTTAACCACTGAGTCATCTCTCCAGCCCCGTAATTACCTTCTTATTGAGAGTCTTCCATCGTGTGCTGACGTCATCCAGGTCATGTTCCAAACCCTGAGTACAGGTGCCTGTAGCTGCACTCTGAATAAGGCCTTGACCTAACCAGTTCACATCTTGCTGTTTAGCTTGCAAGGGTTCAATTTCTTCTTTCTGGAACGCCTGCAATTGGGAGAACCATATTATAAGAATATTATCTAACAACCACCAAATGTATAATGACCACGTACTTAGTTATCAAGGCGTGGAAACTACCAACTGTCATAGCACTAAAGGGAACCACTGTTATCTAGTCATAGGCCATGGTCACCTTGTAAGGATGAAAGTAAATGGAATATAAATTTGTGGCCTATCAAAATTACTCAACAATACGTTCTACACACATTTAATTGGATTATGTATAAAAACCAAGGTTAGTATTATGAAATTTCTCATCATCACAATTTAGCAAAAAACTATTAAAAAAAAAGGTTAAAAGTAAATGATTAAATGAGCCTTATGAGCCAAGGAATTCCCATAGGGTCTCATAAGGATGGGTGTGGCTGGTTGACAACTGAAGCTTGAGACACAAACTGGAAGTGAACACTCACTGCAAAGACAATGAGGTGGATCAAGAGGCCAAACATATGCCTACTCAAGGAGCCACAATACAGTAATGGGAAAAGGAAAAAGCACACATGGAGACTCAGGGCACATGACATGGGGAGTGCTACAACTCATAGTAGTGGAAGCTACAGACCCAGAGGAAGGTCTGAGCTGATATACAGTAAGGCCCATAAGCACAGGACATTCCATAACTCCCACTGGTAGAAGCTGTAGACCCAGGGAGGAGGCTGGAGCTGGTGCAGTACAGTACCTATCCCTCAGAGGTAGACTAGGGATAGAGCCTAGTCTAAATACCAGACCCATAAAGGAAAGAAATTCAGTCCTACTATGACTTAGTCCTCTTCTGAACATTGAAATGCTTCCACTAAGAGAAGGGGCTTAAATTTAAAGAAGAAAAACCAAACCAACCAAACAAACAAAAAACAATCAACTAACCAACACCAGATGCACAAATCCTAGTGCAGAAACAAAAACAACATGAAAAAAAAGATAATACCAGGCATGGTGGGGAATGCCTTCAATGCCAGCATTTGGGAGACAGCGTCAGGCAGATCTTAGTGAGATGGAAGCCAACCTCGTCTACATAGTGAGTTCCAGGCCAGCTGGGGCTACAGGGAGACCCTGTGTCAAAAAACCAAAAATCAAAACCAAGGTAACATATCTTCTTCAAAAATTACCAATCCCATAGTAACAGCTTCCAATGAGAATAACTTGGAAGAATTTCTAGTCAAATAATTTAAAAGAATGTTTATAAATATGTTGAAGCAACTCAAGGAAGATATGAATGTACTCCAAGAGAACAGAAACAGAGCTGGATGAAATAAAACAAATCTATTTCCAAGATATGAAAACAGAATTCAATAAAGAAATAGAATTGCTGAAGAAAAATCAAATTGAAATGATGCTGGAATTGAAAAAATCTAATAAGCCAAATGGAAAGCCCAGTGGAAAGACCAGCCAACAGAATGAATAGTAGAAACAGAATAGACAGACTTTAGAAGACAAGGTAGAGGAATTGGATTATTCAGTAAAGGTCAATGATAAGTTAGGGGGAAAAAAAAATGACCCGAACAGGGGAAAGCTTTGGGACATTGTAAAAAGACCAAGTCTTGAATTATAGGCACAGAAGAAGGAGTAGACTATTACACCAAATGCACAGAAAATATCTTCAACACAAAGGTGTGTGATAAAAATGATGGATCCCTGCATACAAAGCCCCCTTAATGTCTACTAAAATGCCAGAGGGATTGAAGAGGCACAGTGACATCACCCACAGATCTGGTCCTACATATGACCAGCATAGCAGCTCTGGTTCACTGCTATCCACAGATCCGTGGTCACACTACTCTCTCTCCTAATGTTTGTGCTATCCAACATGGGGTCCCCCAGTTGTTTATGACTAGCAAAGATCTACTGCAGTAGATTAAAATGCAAATTCCATGAGCTGGAGAGGTGGCTCAGCAGTTAAGAACACTTGCTGTTCTTTCGGAGGACCTGAGTTTGATAACCAGAACCCACATGGCCACTAACAACTGTCCATAACTCCAGTTCCAGGGGATCCAATACCCTCTTCTGGCCTCTTAGGGCATTGCATACATGTGGTGCACTTACACACATGCAGGCAAACACTCATACACATAAAAAATTAAATAAAATATTTTAAAATGCAAGTTCCTCCCCAAACAGAAATTACTGTTTTCTAATAATTTATAGTCCCTGGGCTTGCTACAGTAGCTAGCATGTAATATATATGCAATAGTTATTTGCTGAATTAATATCAATATACAAAAAAATATATCTATCTTAGGTGGATGATCTCAATCCTTTTACAGATAATACCGGAAGTATCACATCCATTTTTTCACAGATAACATAAATGTCTGTAACGTGGGGCTTGGAGAATGCCATGAGAAAAATAATTTTAACTCAGCAATAAAAGTTTGAGACACATATTAAGGTAAAACATGGTTTGTCATTTGGAGGACACCACATAAAATAATCAATGGCTGGATAAACAGAACATACAAAGACCTAATAAAGGCAGATATATTAAAAGACCACTTTGAAAGAAAATTATAGGTATACTCTGAAGAATAATTGTGAAAGATATAGGGCTAAGAAGACAAACTCTCCAGACCCTGGCCTAATGCTGGACACACAGGATACTTCTGCGCTAATTGTAGGAACAAATACATTAAGAATGGCAAACAAGTGAGCTGTCGTTTCCTCTAAAAATCCCCTCTTGGCAAGCCCAAGCTGCTTTTTCCATTGAAAATCCATAGAGACAATTTCTATACTGGCTAAAGATCCCCATGTAATAATACCAACTATAGAAAATTAGTTACACATCATGAAGACTCCAAAGGATCCCTAAATTACTGGGGAGAAAACTTTGCATCTTCTCATAGTCTTTCCAAAAGGTGTGGCTTACCAAATGCATCAACAGAAAACTGCAACAAGGTGGTAAGCTTAGAGTTTGACAATTTGGTTATATTTCTTTTTTAAACAATATCCTAGGGTACTACTTCCAGGAACTAATAATAGCCTTGCATACTTTTAAGTGTTTACAAAAATGTGTACAGGATAGGGAAGACTGTTGCATTCTTCAGCGTAGGAACTTGTTATATAATGCTTCAGGGAAAACTTTTATTTTCCCTCTCACTTTTCAGAAGGAAAACCTTACTAATACAATGTCCTAATAAACTGTCTTAGCCCTTGATCTTGGAGAAATTAAGGGTGTATATCAGTCTACATGAGTCTGTGGTAATTTTCTAAAGTTCTTCAAAAATAGTATACTAACAGGAAAAAAGGTTTTCTCCAAATCAGCTATAAAATCCTTTACATGGAAAAGTATTTTGCTAAGCTTTTAAATTAGCAGAGCATTTGCTGCGGTCTCAAGGGAAGGTGACTACAGCAATTCATAGACTGAGAGAAACTTTTCTAATATTGTCTAAATTCCTTATTTCTCAGTGGTAACAAAATACTTATGAAAAAATTTCCCCACAAAGAAAACTAATAGCACACAGAGAACCTTAAAATGAAATAAACTCTGAGGTAAAGTTTACCAGATGGGCTTAGAGAGAGCACCAAAATAGCTGAACTTGAATCTGAGTGGGAAGAAAAAAATTACAGGCTTGACAGACAATCTCCACTTATTACAAGGCTTGCCCTTTATTTTACCTCTTCTACAGCTCACAGAAAGTTAGGCACTATAATGCCTGTAAAAACCACACAATAACTTCTCTACTCTCATATGCAGCACTACTGAAGTTTTTAGCACATTAAAAAAAATCTTTAAGATGGGTGGGTACAGCACTTTGCTGACCACAACAATACTGTTTGTACCTTCATGACTAAGTCCACTGAAGCTTAATAAATTCAATATAACTGCCCTTAAATGGCAGTGTTTTAAACCACAATTTGTGCAAAACCCTAATATTACCCTAAGTTAACAGTGGAGGCCATATGAATGAGCCAGAACAGCCAGAGTCTCAAGAATAGAACACTAAATAGCTGGGATTTTTTGTTTTTCTAAAAAAAAAAAAATCCCTCATTAATTTGTTACACCAATGAATTATCAATTGCTGGTGTCTGGCAGGGTGCTAATCAAACCTGTGAAATAAGTGTCTAGATTTTATCCTTATTAAAATCACTCCTGACTATTCAGGAAACAGATCCACAAGCAGTTGGCACCACAGTTTCCCAATTCCATTAATTACCTGGACCAACTGGGAGCCATCGCAGATTGTGTCCAATATTCCTGCCTGGGCCCCTGTTTTTCTGGGCCCTGTTCTCTTTGTTATTGGTATGGACTGTAGGGAGCATTTCTTCTGGGTCACCCCCATCTCCTGGGTAGAAAAAGGGGCCTCCATTTCACCCTTAGATGGTATGCTGGATTCTTCTGAATCGTGTTGTGTCAATAATGTCACATTTTCTGACGAAACTATGCTACCAAAGTCTCCATCCCTCTCCCTCTGAGGGGCTGTGGAGGAGCGCTCCAAAACCCAAGGAGGTTCCTTTATACATTCCCTTCTGTGTGCTGAGATTTGCAATTCTCCTTGTCCCAAAGTTTTCTCTTTTTCTCCAGAGCTGGAAATCGGCTTGTTTTCTCCATCTCTTGGCATAATTAATGGATTGCACTTAGTACTCTCTCTCAAATGATTCTCCCTGAAACCATTTTGATCATGGGCCTTCCTTTGATCATTTACATATGGGCTTCCCCTGATTGAAGAAACATCATGCAAAATCATTTGGAAGTTGTCATCAGGGTGAACACTTCTACATGAAAGCAGTGGGATTGTCTGTTCACTAATGGAATTAACAGGAAAAAAAGGTCTATATTGCTCTGTTATATGGGTATCTTCAACAGGAGATAAGCTTCTAATTTCTGGCTGGTCTCCATTCAAAATGCCCTGTTTTCCTTCCTTCTCTGCCAGAGGACTACATAAACCAGAGTCATCCTCCTCTGAAGTTTGAGAATTAGTACCCCATCTGCACTTGCTGGCCTTGGTAACAGCATCTGACATATCAGTAGGTTCAACAAAAGAACTTTCACT